TCTTCTCTTTCTCCTTCCTTCCTTTCCTCCCTCCCTCCTTTCCTTTAACCCCTCCTGTATCCCCTGTTACATCCTGTGCCTGAGAGCAGCTGGCAAACATCCCCAAGTGTGCAGCAACTGCAGCTCCCTGCCTGGCATCCAGCCAACGTTCAGGGCTTAAAAACTTCTGGGGAAGGCAAAGAGAAAAACCCCTGGTTTTGAAGGCAGACAAAAGCCAAGGCAGAGTGCTGAGAAGTCATTTCTAGTGAGTGCCCACAGTTCAGCCTCTCAAGAAATGATTTTTCCAAGGGTTGTGCTTTCAGCAGGGAATGTTCTTGGTGCTAAATCTGCTCTGGACACTGAAATGATCAAAGTGTCAGTGCAGGGGCTCAGGGAGGAGCAGCTCTGGGAGGACCCTGAGCTGTGGGGTTGTTCCTACCTGTGGGTACTCCCCAGGCTGCTGGGAATAACTGAAATAGTTTTCCACTGCATGTTGTGGTGCAGTTCCCTGAGGCACAGCAGCATCCACGACACTGCTTGCAAGGCTGCTCTGCTGTGGAGGACTGGAGGCTTTGCTGGCAATTGCTGCTGGGAACACAAAAACAGAGCTTGGATCAACACCTGCCTTGGAAAAACACTAATTAGGTTCTATTCCAGGATTAAAACTGAGATTTGTACCCCAAATTAATCAGTGCTACCAATAATTGAAAGGCTTCTAGAAGTCTGTGAGCCTCTGCAAATGCACCCCTGTTTAACCATCAGGATAAATGACTTTGCAGTTTTGAGACACACTACAAGATTCCCTTGAGGATAAATGCTGTGGGCACTGGATTTACCAGGCAAGCAAGATTAATATTTGCCATGCCCTGGCTGTGGAAATGTGCAATGAAATCCATGGAATGTTTGCTTACCTGGCAGACAGATGCCAGGTAAAACACTTGCCAAATTCAAGTAGGGGTTGGTGCTCAGGCGGATTTCTTTTGGGGGCTCCCCAAGCAGAGAAGTCTGTTTCTTCAAGGGAGTCTGAAAAATGGACAGTTTGCATTAAATTCATATAAAATTGGTCAGAAATAAGGTCAAGCAGCCTAGCAAGGTCTTGGGAAAAGCTTAGTCCTATGAAAAAAAACCTTTTGAAATAAAATTAAACTTTTGAAGTCAATCCTTCACAAGTTCCATTTTATTTCAGCAATCTGCCTACACTTTTTTCTTCCAAATAGTTTTTTGTAGGAATGTTTCTCTTCAGACTGCAAGTTCCTAAAGGGTATTACAAAACAAACAAACCAAAGAAAACCTTTTATATGCAAGTGAAGGAATAATAATCACTCGAGCAATTCCAGATGCAGGGAGTGAACATCAAGTACAAGGCCAAGACAAAATCAACCCTTTTCACTTGGAGACACAAGGAAATGAAGGCCAAATGTCAGGACAATCATGAATTAAGCCCATGTTTCCCCAAAATGTTGAAGTATTGATGTATATTAAAATTATAATTTATTGTTTTATAAGAAAATAATATATACTATATATTATTATTGTTGTTATAAATTATTTTAGATTTATATATTAAAAAGGTACATTTTCTTAAGGGCAGAAAAAATTCTGAAAGAATGAGCCCACTTAAATCCCATCCCATCATCCTCTCACACCTCATCTTCGAGGGAATAAATAATATTTTAAAAAACTGGTAACTGAAAGTGGAAAATTAAAATAAAGGGAATTGAACAGGGGGGANCTCCTCCTCCTCCTCTCACCTGCTGTAAGGCACTGCCTGGGGGAGGCTGCAAACCCGCCGGGGCTCCACTCAAAAAGGAAGGCACCACCTGCAGGCAGGTGCTGTAGTTTGGGAAAGATCCACCTGCAGGTTCCTGAATCCAGACAGGGATCCGTGAAGTAAAATGAAAAAAGGTTTAATAATTTTTTTTTTGTTTTGTTTTTTTTTTTCCTGCTATTGTGATGAGCTCTCAGCAGGTAAGGAAATAGCTGAGTCAAAGGTGCAATTCACAGCAGCTCAGGGGTGCAGCAATTCCTGGAGCAAAATGTGGGGTTTGGATGATGCTTTAATTTGTTTCATTCCTTTCAAAAGTAACTTTGTCCTTGCTCACAAAACCCTCAGCTTGGGCAAGAACCAGCCCTTCAGTGTGGGAGATTCAGCACTGGGAAATGCCATGAATGGAGTGCTGTTCCTGGTGGGAGTGTTTTACCCCACTGCTGAGCATTCCATGCTTTTGGCTGGTGGGATTTTAGAGGGGAGTTTTGGGTGTGACTCTGGGGGTGCTGCCCCGCAGCAGTGCCCATGCAGTGCCCTCTGCAGCCCCTCATTCTGTGCCAACACACAAAGCAGTGTCCAAAAGCTGACGGGAGCAACAGCCAGTGGAGACAGCAAGAAAATGAAAATTATTTCTCACCTCAGAGGCCTCATTTTCCAAGCCATCCACTCTGGCCTGGGTAGAGTGATGTGCCTGAGCATAATGCTGGTACCAGTGCTGGACAGCCTCCTAGGGAGGAGCAGAAACCCTCTCCCATGCCTGCCTACAATCCTTACAGCCCAGAGCTCTCCCAAAGCACCAAACACCTTCAGCACCAGTGGTGAAACTCAAATCAAACAGTTAAATTATGGTAAGTGCTTAAAACACCCAGGAGGCACCTGTGGCCTGGCAGAGAGGCAGGGACAACAATTCCTGTTATGGGAACACCTCCAGGGATGGGAGCTTCGCTGTGCACCCCCACCCTGCAGGAACAATTCCCAATTCCCAATCTCCCATCCATCCCTGGGAGCCATTTCCTGTCCTGTCCCTCCATCCCGGGAGCCATTCCCTGTCCTGTCCCTCCATCCCTGTCCCCAGCCCCTCTGCAGCTCTCCTGGAGCCCCTTTAGCAGCAGGTTCAGGCTGACCCAAGGCTGTGTGGCCCTGGCACAGCTCTGGGCAGTGACCCTGTCCCCCGCCCTGGCCAGGCTGCTCTCTGTATTTCAGAGATCCCCTCCCAGCCCAACCCTGGCTGCCACGAGTGTGGGCTCTCAGCTGTCCCTGTGTGCCCTGGGGAGGGAGGAGGCAGCTCAGCTCTGACCACAGCCACAGTTTCACACCCTCAGGATGGTTAATGCAAATCTGGGGGTGTTCTCTGCCAGTGTCCTGTGGAGCTGGCTCTGAGCACTGAGCACTCTGCAGGGCCTGCAGCTCCTGGCCAGGCTCTGATCTGCACATGGGGATTATTATTATNGCTGCTGCTGCTGGAATGGGAGCTGGGTTAGATGCTGCAGGCAGCCATAAATGGAGAAACTCTGCTGTTACACGGGATTTATTACAGAGGGTTTGCTGTGGGGTTAACGAGGGTGGAGGAGAACAATTCCAGATCTACTGCACTGCTTTTTGTTCCTTCCCCATCCCACAGGCAAACAGCTCCATTTCAAGCTGATTCAATAAAACTCTGACTTTTCTAAACATTCCCTGTGATAACTTTCTTAGTGCTTCCTGGCATTTTCAAAGAAAAACTGGGAACAACATCCTGGAGGATGCTGGATGGGAGCACAGGGGGAAACCCCACCTCAGCTGCCTTTGGGAAGAATTTCTTTCACTGAAAACTGGCAAGTGTTCTCCAAAAGGACAATCTGGGTATTTGGAGGAGCTTTCTGCTCTCCCTGGATGCCTTTTCCCTGCTCCTGGAACTGCCATGGCTCAGGGCAGGGCCAGGATTGCAGAACACAGGGAGCAGTGGAGGAAACAAGAGCAGAAAATCCTGCAATGGTTTGGGCTGGGAGAGACCTTAAGGATCCTCCATTGCCATGGCAGGGAAACCTCCCACTGTCCCAGGGGACACTGCAGGGATCCAGGGGCAGCCACAGCAAATCTGGGAATTCTATTCCTCCCTCTCAATCACAAATTCCTTCCCAATATCCCATCTAAATCCCCCCTTTTTCCCTTTTAAATCCATTCCCTGGGTGCTGTCCCTCCATGCCTGTCCCCAGCCCCTCTCAGCTCTCCTGGAGCCCCTGCAGGCCCTGAGCTCTCCCTGGATCCTTCTCCTCTCCAGGGGAGCACCCCAGGATCCAGCTGATCCTTCCTCATAAATATTGAGGGCATCAGTGGCACAGGAATTTGCATTCCAAACTGACACCTGTCACAGACTGGCTGCTAAAACTCATTTCTTAATAAAATGAAGGCCAAGAGCAAATTTGTGGTGCCTCTTCAGCAACTCCCATTTACCTGCTTTGCAAAACCCCACAAAAATGTCACCTCGAAATAAAAGCACATTCCAAGTGTACCCAAAAAGGAATAACTGAGCTAGCAGAGTATTTAACCAGCTGCTTTTTTACACAGGGAGAAAGGCAGTGCAGAATGTGAGGCTGGGCATTTCTAGAGGTGTGGGATGAAATGAAATGTCATTTACACTTGAGAGCTTCTCCTCGTGCTGCCAGGCCTGAGCTGAGTGCTGGCATCACCCCTATGCCCAGCACTGTCTGCAGCAGCATGGCTGGAGGCTCTCCCAGCAAACCTGGTTTCTAAAAGGAAGAAGAGAAAACTGTGTAAATCATTACAATTATCTGCTCAACTTCCCACACTCTCAACCTCTTCAGCTGCGCTGAAGGATCACAGAATATGAATGGGTTGGGTTGGAAGGGAACTTCAAATCACGGGCACCTGATTATATATATATTTATAAATATATAAATGATTTATTTAGGGAAGATGGGAGGGCTCAGGGAGGGCAGAGCTGCAGGGGTGGCCTTACACTGTTTGCCTGCACGTTCTCCATCTTGAGCAGCTGCTGCTGGGGCAGGGGCAGCTGAGCAGGGCTCTGCAGCAGCAGGCTGGATGTGCTCCCCAGCAGTGAGCTCTGACAAAGGAGAAAAAACAAGGGTTACCTGGCAGCCACACCAACATTTTCACACAGCACTGCTTGAAGGAATTCAACATTCTGAGTTAAGGACAATCATTTCCTCCACACAGCTATGTTTCCCCCCACAACAATCTCCATGAAATCCTAGCCCAGAGGCATTAAAACCTGACAAATCACAGTGCCTGCACATTGGCAAGTCTATAAAATATTCACATTGCAATATTCACATTGCTCCTTCAGAATATTCTGCAGCAGTTTGCCACCAGAACTGAGCCACTGAATTAAGAACTTTGGGGCACCCTCTCCAGATTCTGCCACGGGTATGTTCAACATTGTGAGCTCTGGCCAGCTCTGAGGCTTAAAATAAACCTTAAAAGCCATCATGATTTATGCTACAGGCCTGGAAGTGCCTGTAAAATGCAGGTTATTCTATAGGGTGTTGCACTAAAATAAACAGACAGGACACTGTGATCATGCCAAGTTCACCCTTTATTGTTTTAATCACCAAACCCAGGGAATGAAGAGAGCAAAACATCTCCCAAGTATTTCCAAGCCTTGGCTGTGTCTGGGTGGCAGGCTTAAATTCCTTACAGAAAAAACCCTTCATGACTGAAATACAATCTTCTGGACTAAAATATGATCTTCTGGGCTCAGAAATGTGTTTTTCCAAACAAAGATGGGCCATATCTAGATCAGTTATGCATCTATTTGCATTGTCTCAGTGATTTCCAGGGGAGATTTTGCAGGGCTGGTTATTGTCACCAGTGCCAGGGGCTGCTCCTTCTAAACTTGGCTCCAGCAACAAAGCAAACTGGTTCTATTGCAAAACTTTCAGAAATAAAAGAGTGGAAAAAATCAGTTTGGTCAGAATCCTCAGGGGAAAGGCTCTGGATTAATCAAGATTTAACAAATTGCTGGATGTCTGAGGAAAACATCCCTGAGGAACCTGAAAATGCATTATTTTGGGGCAGGATAATTTATAACTAAGAGAAATTAAGAGAAACAAGTTGAAAATAAGGCTACCTCAAGTTGAACAATTACTGGGTGAATAACCTTCAAATCCTCTCTGTTGAACCCTTTTGAAATCATTATTTTTAAATATTTATTCTCATTCTGTTACTTCACAAAGCCCTGAATATAAAAGAGAAACCTGAGACATGCAGGGAGCACCAAACACTCCCAGAGCCAGAGAGAGCAGCAGAACTTCAACAGAGCAACTGAAAATGTCATTTCAGTTTAAAAAA